TACGAAAACTGCTAATCAGAATTGAAGAAACTGTCGTTCACATCAAAGACAATTATAAGGTCCAACCTAAGCCTGAGTCCTTAATACCAGTAACTATTAAACTAGCTTTAGAAGTGACTAAGTTTAATCTTAAGTCACAGAAGCAGAATAATGAATTTATAGAAACCCTAGTTAAAAGAATTAAGGATATTAACATACAAATTAATATGATATCCAGCCAGCACCAACAAGATAATGAAGAGAATTATCAAAATCCTACACTCTCCCAAATTACCGAAATTCAAAACAATTTTCAAGAAATGCCAACCCCTGTCAAACGAATAAATTATGGTAAAGGCACAAACAGAATGGCCTTAATACGACCAAGCAAGTACTATTATCCCAGACCTACTCCCATGGATGTCCTTTACGAAGAAGATTTCCTCCAGACACAAAGATCTTATCATGGAAAAACCATTTATGAATGGAATATTAATGGGCAATTTGAATATCAAGTTTTTGAAACTATGCATCAGATGATAATGTATTCTACTATATGCCAACAAAATGACAATACAAACCATCAAATAGCTCGTTTCATCGTAAACGGTTTTACAAGAATTCTCAAAGGATGGTGGGATAATTATCTCACTGAAACTCAACAGAATGAAATTTTAAATTCATTTAAAATTATAATTGATCCTATAACTGGTCATGCTCATCAAGAGCAAGATGCTATTTACACTCTTATTCATACTATTGTATACCATTTTCCTTGGTAACATAACTTCCGGCCTTGAAGACAAGAGTCGTGAATTATTACAGAATCTTCAATGTCCATCTTTATCTCATTTTCCATGGTATAAAGATGTTTTCCTTATGTGGATTGTGCGTCGATTTGATGCAAACAATGAACATTGGAAAGCCAAATTCATTGATGGCCTTCCTACTTTCTTTGTTGAGAGATTTCGAAAGAAATTACGTGACTGACATGATAGAATGACTATACCTTACAATGAATATACTTATGGACAACTCATAAGTCTTATTACTAAAGAAGGTCTTGCTTTATGCAATGAACTCAAACTCCAGCATCAAATGAAAAAACAACATCTTACCGGGAAAAAAAAGATAGGTAAATTTTGTGAACAATTCGCCCATGATAGTAAAATCCAGTATCCTTCTAAACATAAGAAACACAAGTTTGGAAAACCTTCCAATTACTACTCCAGAAACACCAGACAGTATAAATCTCCTAAACATAGTTACCAGCAAAATCAGCCTCAAAGATCTAAAGGCAAGCAGAAAACCTCTTACAAAAGAAAAGACAAATCAACAATAAAATGTTACAAGTGTGGACAAACAAGACATTATGCCAATCGCTGTAAATCCAAAATCCAGCAGAAACTTAATGAAATGGCAATAGATAATCATATCTAGCAACAAATCCTCCAAGCTATATCTGAAGAAGACATAGATACTAGCCTGAGTTCCGATGATGGTTTAGCCTAGCTTTACTCACCCTTAGAGTCTGATTCAGAATCTAACTTTGGTTCAGAAAATTGTCCCTGCAACCAAAATAATATTAACCAAATTTCAGAAGCAAACTATTGGAAAACAATAGTCGAAATGAATGGACTTGACATAGGAGGACCTAGTCTCAATGTCCTTACTGATAATGAACAACAAATGTTAAACATTGCTGACCAGATCACCAATCCAGAAATGAAATTAAAAATTTTAGAAATATGTTATCAACAACATAAAAAAAGAGGAAATTGGCCTTCCTCCTAATCATTACAGTATGAGAGAAGTTTATCATCGTTTACAAACACCTTCTCCACAGGAAAAACCTACAACAATCCAAGACCTTAAGATGGAAGTTAATGTTTTAAAAGCTGAAATTAAACATCTACAAACTGCCAATTTAGCAATCACTGCTGATATTAAGAAAATTAATACTCAGCTTAACCAACAGAAAGACTCAATCAAAAATAAAGATATTACTGAAACCGAATCTAGTAGTAGTAAGACTGACCCTTTTGATAATCAGTATTTAATGCTGATGAAATAGGTTACTTCCAGAAATGGTATATAAGAATAACATTTATTATAAAACCAGATTTTATAATCAAAGATGTTGTCGCTCTTGTGGATAGCGGTGCGGATATGAATTGCATTCAAGAAAGATTAATTCCTACTCAATATTTCCAGAAAACTACCTAGTCACTAACTAGTGCTAGTGGTAATTCCATGTATATTCGTTACAAACTTCCAAAAGTTCTTATTTGTAATCAGGGCATTTGTCTTCCAACTTCATTTGTTCTTATCAGAAATATGTCCCAAACTATTATTTTGGGGACACCATTCTTGTGTTTATTAATGCTGATAACCAAAGTGGATTCCATTGGCATCTATACAACCATTAGTAATCAACCGATTATTTTTGAGTTTATTACAGAACCTTATACAAAAGAATTAGATCAAATCAAAGATTTAGTTAATTTTAAGGAAAAACAAATTAATTTCCTTCAAATAGAAATTCATTTCCTTACTACAGAACAAAGATTATAACAGTCTTCTTTACAGAATAAAATCAAACTAATTGAAAAAGAATTTTATACAAAAATCTGTAGTAATGTTCCTAATGCTTTCTGGGAATGAAAGAAACATATAGTTTCTCTTTCATATGAACCAGGATTTGATGAGCGCACAATTCCTACCAAGTCTCATCCCAGTCAAATGAAAAAAGAGTATTTAGAACTCTATAAAATAGAAATAAATACTCTTTTACAGAAAAAACTTATTCGGCTCAGTTATTCTCCTTGGAGTTGTACAGCCTTTTATGTTAACAAAAATGCAAAGATTGAAAGAGGTGTACCAAGATTGGTGTTTCACACAAATGATGATTATGAAGTCTCTACCTTGTAAACCTTTGGGTAATTAGATGAAATTTTTAAATTGTATATATTTATTGGATAAGCTTTGTGATGGAGATGATGTTTGAATTGTTAGAATTATTATATCCACTATGGGAAGTTTTCTTTTAAATATGGAGAATCTTTTGTTAGTTGTAGCAAGTGTATAGATAAAGCTTTTTGGAAGCTTGTGAGTACTGGATCAATGTGGAGGTTATTTACTTTTATTTATTTATTTTTTATTCCATTTAATTTGTTGGTCATACATCTATTACTATTGGAATTTTTCGAAGTGTGGTGCATTGATATTGATAGAGTTGTAATGTTGATTGGATATATACGTATGAATGTTGTTGTTTTATTTACAAAATGGTATACCTTTATTTTTTATGGACCTTTTTCATTTTTTGTCCGATTTTACAATCATTTGATGTGCTTATAACTTTGATTAAAAAAAATTCCCTGACATTATTTTCCTTTTTCTTTTGTATAGATGGATGAACTCGTAGACGAAGCTGGATTGTACAGGACTAGTTGGCACTTGTTACATTTTTTGAAGAATTATATATTTTTGAATAGATGTGTATGAAAAATATTTTGGTAGACTACTTAGTTATATTTTTTGATAGATGTGCATAGATAAAAATTTAATACATAATGACAAGTACTTGTTATGTTTTAAATTTATATGCTAGATGGATGTGACTTGAATGATTATATAGATTACATTATATTTTTAATTGGATGATTATGTAGTATAGAATTACTTGTGGATGAAAATTTATAATAGTTAATGATTTTAATTAAACAGATTAAGGATTGGATGATTTATATATTTTTTTGGATGTTCATGATTCAGTTGATTTTGTTGGTTTGAATGATTCTTGGAAATTACATGTTATATTGAATGGATTTGATGGGTTATTATATTTTGATAAACAAAAAGAATTGAATTGGCGACCAAAAATTGGTTTTTTTTTTCCTCTTTTGGTGACCAAGTGATTAGTCGGGAAAGATAAGTAATATTTTTGCCAACTAAAGTTGTTGGTTGGTGTATCACCACTCACATTTGGCGACCAAAATGTTGGTAGGTAAAAGGGTACATTTGGCGACTAAATAATTAGCAGGTAAAATTATTAATTTTGGCAACCAAAGAGTTTGGTCGCGAATAGATCTATTGTCGACTAACGTTTTAGTCCGGTAAACATTACTTTTGGCAACTAATAGGTTTGGTCGGGGAATATTACTTTTGGCGACTAACATGTTTGGTCATGGAATGTGATAATTGGCGACTAACAATGATTGGTCGAGAAAATATGACTTTTCGTGACAAAAGTGTGTTAGCTACTAAATGGATTAGTCGCAGTAATTATATATTTAGCGACAAAAAATTGAGTCGGCAAATAGAATTTTTTCCTGACTAAAAAACTTTTTAGTTACTAATTGCTTTTCGCGACCCTCAATTGGCGACACAAAAAATTAGCCACGGATAACTTTTGCCCAGGATAACTTTTGCTGACTAAATTTTTAGTCGGCAAAAGTGCGAATTCCTGTAGTGCCACCATCGACATACTTGCACCTCCCATGTAATTGTAATTTTTTTTTTCTCCAATTCCCACCCGTATACAGCACTTCCAAAATTTTATGGTTTAGTGGTTTGTTTTTTTAATTATTACCTGTTTGAAGGTATAAATAATGAACTTATCCATTTTTCTATAATAGCAAAAGCTTTTAAATAAATTGGTAGCTAGTGACACATGTTTAGCCTGCTTATGAAAGAGTCTTCTGAGGATTGATAGTTAACAATTTAACATTATTATTCAAAGGAAAAATTACTAAGTTATCAAACAGGACTTCAATGAAGCAGAGAGAGAGAGAGGTCCTCATGATTATTACTATCTTATATTGATAACAACTATTACAAAAATTATTAGCTTCATACATCAAGCTCTTCTAGCTCTGTCTTGAAAAAGAAAATAGAGGTAATCTGATTTTGACTTCAAAAAAAAAAAAAAAGGGAAATCAAACATTGGATTAGTAATTTTATTGGACTATTAGTCCAATCCCAAGCTCATGTCCACCCAAACAAACACGACCGAAATGTCGTCAAATTTAGGGTTATTTATGATTTGAAATGACCAAATTATTTTTAGGATTTCAAGCACAATTGAGTGGTATCTTGGGAATTCCATGAAGTTGTAGTTCCCCCAATACACTATCAAGAGATGGAGGTTTTAGTCCAAGAGGAAGTGGCAGCCATGGCTTAGATAAAGCATCTCCAATAGCTGCATCGATGCTCTCTTTCGACTGTAAAACAACATTGACAAATAGTCAAGACAAGAAATCAATTATTGTTTCTAATTTATGTAAGACACATCTCTCACCATATTAATAAATTTTATGGAGCAATTAGCAACTTAAACAACCAAATCAAATTGGAAATGAAAGTCAGTTAGTAGAAATTCACAATTTAAACAATTATAAAAGGGTCGATCCTAAACTTTTAGAGGCTCTTAGTGAATACCACTTGAAAAGACAATCAGCTTAAAAAGGAAATTATTACAAAAAAAATTAAAAAATTAAAAAGACAATCTAGTCATGTTACTTATTTTTTTTTTATTTATTTATTTTTTGAATATATGTTAAGGCAAAAAGCACTTAACCCACTAGGATTTTGGGTTGGTACAGATAACTCCACTGACGTTTGAAAATATGTAGACATCTCTCCTATGATTTTGGACTTATTTGTAACTATCACATTTTCCATCCAAAAAAACAGATGTGCAAGTATTGTTCCGTTTGACAGTTTTTCTATAAAAATGATTTGATCAAAAGACCAAAATGACCCTACCCTTCACATGATTTGAAATAGATGTTATACTCCACCCAAATTGTAGGGAAGAGTGGAACCATCTTGGAACAATTAGTACTTCCTCTCCTTTTTATTTTAATTTATTTTTTTATTATATTTTTATCTCTTATTTATTTTATTATATATTTTTTGAATCAAATATTTTTTTGTTTAATTTGTCTTTCATTCTATATTGTCTTTTTTATTTTGTTGTTTACTTTTTTTAAGCTTTATTATACAATTTGTCAGGAATATTGAAATGTCTTTTGCAAGCAGTATTGGAGTAGGAAACACTTGATTATATTTTACTAAACTGTATTATACAAAATTTTTTCTATTATATTTATATCTCTTATTTATTTTACTTATTTGTTATTTTATTTAATCAAATATTTATTTGTTTAATTTGTCTTCCACTCTATAGTGTCTTTTTTTTTTATTTTATTGTTTATTATTTTTAACTTTATTATACAATTTGTTAAGAATATTAAAATGTCTTTTGTAAACAATATTGGAAGGGAAACACTTGATCATATTTTATTAATTATACAATTTGTTTATAGAATCATAAGAAATTGATCTTTTTCTTTAACAAATTAATTTTAATTTTTTTTAGAAAAATAGAAGACAAAATTCAATCAAATATAACGAATTGGATTTCTCATGACATAATTTTTTGAAACTATTTTTACTGCTAAAATATATGTGACTATTTTTTTGGTTATTTTTAGTGAATTTTTTTGGTATTAATTTGTATTATTTTTATTGTATGATTTGAGTTAATAAAAACACAAAATAATATTTGTATGGTTTAATTATTACCATCTTTATGGTTTATTATTATTTTTTTATTTATACAATTTAAGTTAACATTTGAGTAGTTTGAATATTATTATTATTAGTAGGGTAAATTATGCAAATGGTCTCTGTAATTTACATGATGTGTCAATTTGGTCAATGTTATTTTGATTTGTTCAATTTTGCCCATTAATTTAACGAATTGTGTCATAGTGGTCCAATAAATAACGGTTGTTAGGTTTGGTGGACGGAAAATCATCACGTGCTCAAACGATGTGTCAATTTGGTGTTTGTAGTTTACACGATATGTCAATTTGGTCATTATTATTTTAATTTGCTCGATTTTGACAGGGATCAAATTGACACATCGTGTAAACTATAGAGACTAAATTGATACATCGTTTGAGTTTCTATCCACCAAACCTAACGACTGTTATTTATTAGACCAATACGACACAATTCGTTAAATTAAAGGGTAAAATCGAGCAAATTAAAACACTAGCAACCAAATTGACACTTCGTGTAAGCTACATGGACCATTTACATAATTTACCCTTATTATTACTAATTTTGTACAATTTGAGTTAATATTTTTTATTAGTCTTAACTTTTTTTTAGTAAATAAAAATAATATTTTTTTGTTCAAAAATAATTCTAAATAATTTTTATTTACATTAATTTCAAATCATACAAATCATTTTAATTATTTAAGTTTTTATATAGTTTTGAACTATTAATTTAAATTTTTATTAAATATGTTAATATTAGTCTTATTTTAAAGATTTTGTTGATATTTTTTGAATAAAATTAATTTTATAAAAATTGAATTTATATATTAAAAATTATATGTATTTTATTAAAATAAAATTGGATAAAATTTGTTCTATTTTTTAATTAAAAAAGTGAATTGAATGATGTGATGTGATATGTGCCGTGTAAAGAGAGAGAGAGAGAGAAGAGAGCAGGAAGGTGCATGTGTGTGACGTGTGTGATGGGTGAGTGTGCCTATATTAGCAAGGGTAAATTAGTTTTTTTGATATAGACGTTAACGGCGTGACGATTGCAGATAAGTTTAAAACTACAGAAGAGATATTTGCATATTTCCAATCGTCAGGGGCCATTTGCCTCAGCCCAAAACCAAAGGGTATTAAGTGCTTTTGCCCTTAATTATTTTACTTTTCTTCTTATTTTTATGTATATATAGATTAATACTTAACAAGAAATATGATTAAATAAACAATTTAATTCACAATCTAACAAGTAACAATCAACTCAAATTGTAGATATTTTAATTTTCAAGTCAAATTATCAAACACTAAAGTAGAATCAGAATGATACAAAATTTGACAACATATAAAGAGATTATCAAGGCATAGGGGTTCTTTTGAATGTCCTAAATAAATGTACTTTTTAGACTAAAAATTAGAGAAAAAAAAGATGGTTGTTTGGGATAACTTTTTGACTTTTTACGAAAAAATGTGTATTAAAATATTGTATAAAATAATAAAATTACGAAATTACCCTTCTTGACATAGTCAGCATTATTGCGCTGACTTTCTATCTCTTTTCAATTTTTATTTTATTTTATTTTAGTTTATTTATTTATTTATTTTAATGGGAATGTGTGGCTTCAAGCGTGCCACGTTTTCTTTTTGACTTGGGAAGTTGTGGCTGCACAGTTTTGTGGCAGCACTGTTTTTTGTTTTTTTTTTTCATCTGACAGATTTCCTACCAAAATAAAGGTAAATAGTATGAACTTTTTATTTTTTATTTTTTTAGTGAATTTTTGACTTTTTGAATTTTATACATAATGTCAAACCAGCCCTTAAATTGTGTTGGGGCAAAGTTTGGTAGAGTAAAAATCAAATAAGTTAGGCTTCCACTAGTAAAAATAGTTTTGTTTTTGAGTTTGGTACTAATAAGCCATGTAGTATTTGGGTTTTGGCAAGTTAAAATCAAAATAATTAGTGGTCATCCACTAATAAAAATAGTTTTTTTTTTTTGGTTTTTTTTTTAATTTTATTTATTTATTTTATATCAACAAAATAAAGTTTATTGGTAAGAATTAAGGATAACCTTACATCATAAATCAATAAAGAAAAAACACAAAGACCAATAGGCGGTGCTATAAGAATCAAAACAAAGCCCAATGATTCCACCTAAATTGGTACAACAGGATATGACCAATCATTTGCAGCACCATTCCAACACAATGGTTGAAGAGAGGTCAACCGTGCAATATTTTCTAGCCCAAACATCAGGGCCCAAAGCCAGCTTGCCCTTTGGGCCGGCTCCGCAACTATGTTTAATTTTTTCTTATTTATAAATAGAGCATCGTTATTTAGACTTCCAAGTTAAAGGTTGGTTTGGAATGTTCTAAAAAAGCGTATTTTTTGACTTATTAACTTATATGGGTTGGGTTTGATGTGATGTGTTAGAGATGTGATGTGATTTAAATAAGATGATGTGACTTAAATAGGATAGCGACTTTTTGACTTTTTGTATTATTTAATAGATGCCAAACTTGGCCTAAATCTAACTTCTAAACTCAGTATTGTGTCAAAAAAATAATTTGTTGATAATTAAACATTATTTAGTTATCAATAAATCATCTTCTTGATATGTCACTATATTTAAAAAATAAATTTAAAAAGTATATTTTATGTCATTTTTCTTATAAGTAATATGCCAATATCAATAACAGAAATTAATAGTAAGACTTTTTAAATGGACATGGCTCCTCTCCAGTTACTAGAGAGGAGAGCTCGGTATTGGTGGGTCGTAATTTGGGTTCATGTCAATAATCTAAATCGTTAATGTGTAGAACTCGTCGAATACATTATCCTTGTAAAAAATCACTTTGATTAGATATCGATAACTATTTCCGGTTCAACCCGACGGTTGAACCGGTGACCCGTCCACCCGATGCCTTTTCCGGTTCGTTCACCGGTCCGGTTTTTAAAACATTGCTTCCAAGTTAAAGGTTGGTTTGGAATGTTCTAAAAAAGTGCACTTTTTGACTTATTAACTTATATGGGCTGGGTTTGATGTGATGTGTTAGAGATGTGATGTGATTTAAATAAGATGATGTGACTTAAATATGATAGTGACTTTTTGACTTTTTGTATTATTTAGTAGATGCCAAACTTGGCCTAAATCTAACTTCTAAACTCAGTATTGTGTCAAAAAATAATTTGTTGATAATTAAACATTATTTGGTTATCAATAAATCATCTTCTTGATATGTCACTATATTTAAAAAATAAATTTAAAAAGTATATTTTATGTCATTTTTCTTATAAGTAATATGCCAATATCAATAACAGAAATTAATAGTAAGACTTTTTAAATGGACATGGCTCCTCTCCAGTTACTAGAGAGGAGAGCTCGGTATTGGTGGGTCGTAATTTGGGTTCATGTCAATAATCTAAATCGTTAATGTGTAGAACTCGTCGAATACATTATCCTTGTAAAAAATCACTTTGATTAGATATCGATAACTATTTGATCAGATCACATTTTCAAAATAAATTTCAAAGTAAATTGAGTCTAAGTATTGTTTGATCAAGTGATTATCAATATTCAATCAATGTAATTTTTTGCAGGGATAATGTAGTCAACGAGTTCTACACATCAAATGGTTTGGATTATCGACATAAGCCCAGATTAAGGCCCACCAATGCTGAACTCTACTTTTCTGTAATTGGAGAGGAGTCGGTCCTTTTAAACTAATATAACGGTGACACCTGAGACAAAAAAATAACTTGCTCCATAACAATATTGATTTTTTTAATTATTCAAATGTCATCCTGTAAAAGACTTTACTATATGTTTTGTAAGTAAAAACAAGGAGGAGCATCCTGTAAAAGACTTTACTATATGTTTTGTAAGTAAAAACAAGGAGGAGAAAGAAGGCAAAAAAGAGGAAAATAATATGATAGAGAGAGTGAAGGGAGCAGTAGTCTCTCACCGGGTGAAAATCGAATGGAGGGTGGGGACCTGTTAGTCTGGGAGGGACACCAATGCCAGGGTTGAGCCTGTACATGGCATCATTGGGTGGAATCCCGGGGACCGTTGGAGTGCCAAATCTCTGCAATTATAATAACCATGTGTCATTGAATTCCTTGTAGATGGAGCCAAGCTCAAGGCAAGTCTTTTTAACTTCTTTTGGTGCAGTTTACTTACAATTGTTTACAGATTATTATTATTATTTTTTAATTTTAAAACTTAGTGTAAGTGTGCTTAATGTAAGTTTTTTTTTTTAGAGTTTATTATACAAATTTATTTTAAATAAACAAGAAAAGGTTGATTATTGAGAAGATAAACAAAGAATGCTTTTCTTTTCTATTTTTTAATTATTACTACATTTTTTGCTACCATACTAGATTTTTTTTTTTTTTATAATTATTATTAGATTTATTGAGAAGATAAACAAAGAATGCTTTTGTTTTCTATTTTTTAATTATTACTCAATTTTTTGCTGCCATACTAGATTTTTTTAATTACTATTAGATTTTTTGCTACAATAAAGCGTTAGAATACATAAATTAATTACAGAACTATGCAAGCGTTTGTAAACCTATTTGTATTTGGTCCAAGGATTTCCGGTTCCCAAATATTTCTGTCCTTTGTCTCAAATCATTCACAATTATTGGATATGTCTCTCAAATCTTAGAATTCTCATATAATCCAATGATTGTAAGTGATTTGGAACAAATGGACAGGAATATTTAGGAATGTCTCTCAAATCTTAGAATTCTCATATAATCCAATGATTGTAAGTAATTTGGAACAAAGGGACAGGAATATTTAGGAAAGGGAAGCCTTGCTCATTGTTAGATATGTCTCTCAAATCTTAAGATTCTCATATAACCCAATGATTGTAAATGATTTGGGACAAATGGACAGGAATATTTAAGAAAGGGAAGCCTTGCTCATTGTTGTGTTAGTACTTAGTAGCGCTGCTCCGAAACAAATCGTTACCGTAGTTGGCAGTGGTGGCGGAAAGCAAGGTGTTCCTGGTGTAAGAGAATTTGGAACCTGAATAAAGAGGAGATGCCATTTTAGAGAGAGAGGTAACAAGTAGGGAGGGAGGGAGAGATTACCTTATGCCTTTGGTAGTGTAAGTGCCAAAATGATGAGTCTAGCAGTGGTCTTGGTGGAGAAGGGTGTGTGGTTGGGTGGGCCCATGGAGCTGCCGGTGGTGGTGGTGGTGGTGGAGATGGGGAAGGGAGTAGATGTTTGGGCCAAATGTGGATTAAGGATGGATCCATTGAGGGATGACCCCAAACATGTAAAGGTCTGAAATGTTGCAACGGTCTCATGGGAGGGAAGCCGATGGTAGGCGACGCAACCACCCAAGGGCTCATAATATTCTTGCTTCCACCACCACCACCACCACCTCCTCCTCCTCCATCACCACCATATGTTTGCCGTCTCTGGCTCCAGCTTGCAGCTTCCGCTTCACGAGCTAGCGAATGTTTCCTATGCGATCGGTATTTCTGCACAGCCCACAATTCTTCTTCAAATTAGTGTCTTTCAGATTAAAGTTGCAAATCCATGAAAAATCAGTAAAGGAAACTTAATTAGTGTGTTTCTACTTTCATTAGGTTTGAAATTCACACTTTAGTTTTTTAAACAACAGATTAAGGCAGTGAACAAGGTCTTATTACAGTAACCAACATTCAAGTGCAGTCAAGTGCGATCTCAGACAAGATATGAAATTCCAATAAATTTATTTGCATAACAAAAGTGAAGACATACTCTAAGAAAACAAACAAATCTATAACTTTTCGTGATTTTTTTATTTAAAAACATAAACACTGTGAACAAATAATATAGAAGCAAATTTTTTATAAAAAAAATAAATAAATCATAATTTAGTATTTTCCATAAAAATTAGTAAGGAATATGATTATGTTAAAATGCATTTGAAGTCTTTTTCCATTTGAAGTAAGGTCAGAGAAAGAGAGAGAGAGAGAGAATTTTATCATAATTTTTGTAGAAGTTTGCATACTTGAAAGAAAATAGAAGTAGAATGAAACAAATTAGAGAGAGAGAGAGAGAGAGAGGAGGTATGGAAGTAGGAGTAAGTACTTGAAGATGACTAGCAATGTTATGGCGAGTGAGACAATGAATTCCCATAAGCTCTAAAATCCTTGAAGGGACTGCCTCATCCACGCTCAGCTGCTCCACTGCTTCCACAAATCTCCTGTGCAGCTCTAGCATCCAATCCACCTACCACCCCACACCACACATTCCAATACAATAAGCTCTCTCTTTTAAATCCCACAACAAAATCAACAAATGTTAAACTAGCAGAAAGACAATATGAGTAGACATTAGTCTTTCTCTCTCTCTCTCTCTCTCATCGAATTCTGACATCTCCTGGACACAAACAGACTATTCCAAACCAGAATTCTCGTGAGCTCCTATTTGCAGCTCAAGAAGTATGTGAAAATTCATAAATATGAGAGAGAGAGAGAGAGAGTTGCAAATAATTAATCTATTTAGCTTGAATCCAATACTAATTACCTTCACTTTTCTTTTCCCTTGATGATTCTTAGATGATTTTCGTCCTTTATGAGCTTCCTTTGGCGATGGATTGACATCATGTTGGCTTATTTTTCTTACGAAGGAAAATATTATAAATGCAAGCGTGCCAGCAAGGATTGAAAAATCCTTACAGATTAAATTCAAGCCAATTATCAAGCGATTGTGTTGATGGTTCTTTTGCCTCAACAAAGAGGACTTCAAAATTGCCAAAGTGTAGAGAAAAGAAAAATGAAAAGAAGAAAGGGAGATGGAGATGGAGAAACACGATTGAGTAAACAATCAAAGTAATAATTACTTACCTCTACTCGTATGCTTCGAAAAGGAAGTGCATGAAATGCTTCGAAATGAAAGTGCTAAAAATAAATGCTTCGAAATATAAATTTATGTTAAACTACTCCTAAGATAAGGAAAATAACAAGAAATATTGAAATCAAGTGTCTTTGATTTGAGTTCCGGGGCTTACAATGTAGCCATTAATGGCTATTTATAGAGGAAAAAATATAGTAATAACTACTTAGTAACTACCCATTTCTTCCATCTTCATTCTTGTCTTGCCATGTGTCCTTCCACTCATCCACTTTGTCCTTCATATTCTCCATCATCTCCATAACTTCTTTTAGCTTCCAAATGAATAAAAGAATGCCACGTGTCTTGAAAATAATAATAATCATATTATTATTTTATGGTGCCAACATTAACCTCCAAATGAGTAGAAAGATACTACATGTCCTGCAACTATATAAATAATAAATAATAATAAAAATTGCAGATTTATGGTGTCAACACATCAGCAACAGATTCATCTCTCTTGCTCACAATTTCCTCTCCTTGATTCAAGAATGAAGAACAACTTGAGACTTTGTTTTCTTCTTCTTCCTCCTCCTCCTTTCTCGAATTATTAACCTCTACTTTCTCTGATTCCTCACAGCCGGTACTGGTTTGAAACTCGGCAAGGATTTCAGGATCCATCTCCAAGTCAGGCAACACATCTCCATCGTTGATGCCAATGAAAAGGTCATCAAAATCAATACTGTCCAGTAATTTCTCACCCGGAATGTCCGCAAAGACATTGTTGTCTCTGATCGAAAAGCTCTCCATCTCTTCCTCCCTAATTTCATCTTTGTTGATGGTCCTTAAAGGTGACAAAGCAAGCATTCCACAGTGCTAAACTGGACTTATAATAATTCAATTCAAACCTGCCTGCTCACTATGGTGCAAGTGCAACTACGTGGTATTGCTATTGCTATTGCTATTGCATGCAAATTTATGCCTCAAGAGAAGTAGAAATGGATTTTGCAAAGAACTTTTTCCGGTAACGAGAAAGAGAGAGAGAGAGAGACTATAAGGGCCTGTTTGGTAACGTTTACATTTTCAGTTTATATTTACAAAAAATTTATAAATTGGTTTTTGTTTATTTTTTGTTTATTCACTACAAGAATAAACACATTTGCCGACCACTTTTGTTGACCAAAAATATTTTCGTCGCAAAAAAATGAAATTTGGCGACCAAAATAAAATCTGGTTGCTAAAATTTCAAACTATTACCGACTAAAAATATGTTGTCGCAAATAAGTATCTTTTTGCGACCAAATTCTTTTTTTTGTCAGCAAAAATATAGGCGGAAAATGAAAATTGGGCCGCAGCAGGTGCGATCTTTTACCGACTAATATGAGTTTGTCGCAGAAACCAAAATGACGTCGTTTTGCTATGCAAATTCCCAATCAGTCATTAGCAGACCAATATGTTTGCCGGGGATTCCACTCCTAATTCAAACACTCGCATAAAACCAAATCCCCGCCTCTTTTGGAAAAAATGTCGAATTCGATCAGACCAAAATTCGCGCCAATCACCTCACCTAACCATCAACCTTGTCGTTCGTCGTCCTCGCCTCTCCACCGTCTGCGCCGCCGTCCGTCTTCGCCATTTCTGATTCGTCTAGGTATTTTTTCAAACTGATAATCGTCTCTTTGTTTATATCTCCACAGATCTGTGTCTCACTTTTGTCTCTTTGCATTCTCTTACTCCTCTTTCTCATACTCGTCTTCTTCTACAATGTGTCAGCCACCAGGGCCCTCACCATTGTGATTTTTCGGAGCATCTTCAACTCTCCCTAGCAACAATTGCAGGTAAAAATCTGCTGTATCACTCTCACTCACTCAGTCTCTACCTGTGTCTCCCTCTCACTGTCAATGTTTGTGTTGATGTTTGCTGCTGGGATATGTGGAGAATACCATTTCACTCTGTTGTTTGTGAAGTCCCCCAATCTATTATTTGCCTTGGAGTGTGTTATTTCTCCTCTTTCTTTTAAGTATCCCTTCAGGTAAAAATCTGCTGTATCACTCTCACACACTCAGTCTCTACCTGTGTCTCCCTCTCACTGTTAATGTTTGTGTTGATGTTTGCTGCTGGGATATGTGGAGAATACCATTTCACTCTGTTGTTTGTGAAGTCCCCCAATCTATTATTTGCCTTGGAGTGTGTTATTTCTCCTCTTTCTTTTAAGTATCCCTTTCTATATTGGCAAATATATGTAATGAGAATCAAATATATATATATATTTTTTTGCTTTTATAAGTGATTTGTAAAATCAAAGCATCATTGGGGAACATTTTGGTTATTATAGTTAAAACAAGCTATACTACTTGTCTTATGTTTCAAAAGTTCCACAGAAATTGAAGCGGATGATGAAAAACCACATGCAAAATAGGTCTATGATTAGTGCTAAGTTCTTATTTTCCTTTCTTCTTTCTTTTTGGGGTACATACCTTCTGTTTTGAGACTGGAATCAGTAGCAGTACATACCTTCTGTTTTGAAATGAAAAATATATATTATGACAACTTTATCTCTGCATACACATATGGTATCTCTCTATTTCCCATCAACTTAGTATAACATTAGGTCATCCAGTTCTGGGATATATGGGGGTTTGTTAATCAAAGGATATCTTTGTATTGAGGATTAGAGTTACGCCAAAAGAGGGTGATGTCATTTTGAGTCTCTGTTCTTGGATAAGCAACTACACATGCTTTCTTGAATGTGTGAACCTGCTCATTATGTCCGAACATCATAATAGACCACATATGTAAGAAGCTACATTAATATGTGAACATAAATTAAATTTGGTGAAGGAAGATGATAAATAAGGGAAGATATTCAGTTTAGACTTCAATAATGCCAGATCCATGTTTGTTAAAAATATACAACAACTATATTCAATGCCAAACATAATCTTTAACTAGTTTGCTTTGAAGATCAAGAACATCATCAAACAGTTAAAGCAGCCCCAAAACTTATATATATAGAACATTTGAAAAGAAGCTTCTTTAACTCATTCATCCGTACATCTAAAAATTGGACCCATCTCCCTTTCATTCCCTCTCTTTAATTTCCACTATCTCAACTCATTCCAACCATATTACAGAGAGAGAAATAAAAGATTTTCCAGATGAATATCAATCAGAAAGTGATTAAGAGGGAGATGAGTGTTTCCCAAAAACAAAAAAACAAAAAAACAAGAAAAAGTGCTTACTGTTCTAGCTTAGTAGTGCATCAAGAACTCTTATACCCCGTTGCAATGATAATGTTGAAGAAGCCTATTGGCTTCTCTAAGGCCACTGAAATAGGCTCCATGAGTAGTTGAATAATGGGTTCTATGTGTTGCTTCACCTGTAAACAGAATTTGGAGTGGAGGAGAGGCATCAGCCTCATAATTTCCATTTTTGGGCAATGGCATAGAAAAGAACCAACACTGAGCTTTCCATTAAAGCCTTTTGCTGCTATAAACTTACAATACTCAATCTCTTCATTGCTCAATCCTTCTTCACTCACCTTTCCTTGAGCAAAATCCAGTGGTTTGTTGAAAAAACTAGTTATTGAATCGACAAGTGATGGATTGAGCTCATGCCCACCTTCAGCAATAGTGAGTGGATCATGCAAAAACCCATCCATACACTCCCAATGCTGATTAGAGTCAAGTGAATGGATTTATTGAGCAATTTTCTGAATTGGGCTACCTTTAATGCCGTGAATCCAAGTAGCACCCATCTCAATCCTATCACCACCAAACTCAGAAGTGTTGATTCTTCCACCAATTCTAGTCCCACCTTCTACTACGCAGAGCTTAAATGATTCGTTCGAGCCCTGTGATGTGGAGAGCTTGTTGGCAGCTGCGAGACCAGTCATTCCAGCCCCAATAATCACAATTCTTGGCTTCTTGGCCACCATTGTTGCAACAACTTGTTAGTTTTTTAACTTCTCTTCTTTTCTTTTCTTTTCTATTATTTTCTCAGTAGGACATAAGCAGAGGAATATTAAGGACAGGGCTCTACTTTTCTTTTTGAAACTATCAACACTCCAAATTCTAAACTATCAACACTCCAAATTCCAAACTATCAACACACACACACACACACACACACACACACACACACTCTAACACTCCAAATTCCAAACTATCAACACTCTCTCTCTCTGTGACACCTCTTGTCATATATATGTATATATATATATAAACATAGTATTATAATACTAAATTATTTACAAAGGAAGGTAGAGCAAATGTTGTTGATGCCAAGACCCAATAATAGGTTGATGATTCCTTTCACCAACCTCACATGGAAATCCAGTTAATGACAGCCTACCAACTCCAACCTTTCAATGTTTTCTAATTAGTCAATAAATGGGTTTCGACCGGGTAATCATCAAACAGATGTAGCATTAAAATTGTTGCCACTTTAGGTACTATTACATGTTAAATTATTTATTTATGTTTTTATTTTTAATTTCCTTTGGCGTTGGAATGAAATGGAATATTAATGTCCTAAAACGCTGTACCACGGTGGTAGGACAACACTGGTGAACAATATTGATGTAGAAAGTACTCTCTTCTTCCTGTCTTGTTAATCACATAGGATCCATCTTCAAGTGCACCATCAATTGGAAGCTCTTTTAAGTTGAGAATATGTATATTAGCCTCGTTAGCAAAAATACATGATGATTCTGTGTCTGTTCAATAACAGTAAATTATCTTGTCATACATTTTCCTTTAATATTATGACATACAGGTTGCTCGTTATCATACTAATTATAAGTACCCTATTGTCTTTAGTGTAATGGGCAGTGAATTGGCAATGGCATTATTAGTATTAGCAATTACATTTGAAAATGGTCATTTTTAGTCGTTAGTTTGAAGCTGATAACTATTGCTATATTTGATCAACCTATCTGTCTAGATGCCCTTTTTGAATTTTTCCCCCCTAATAAATTTTATGTGCTGGAAGCTCGATTTAATGATATAATGTTTTGCTAGATGGACTCTCTACCATTTGAATGCTGCTGGATGTTTGACTTCTTTAGATGGTTACTTGAAGTCTTATTACATACACAATTAAAAAAACAAAAAAAAGGGCCCAATTAGTGCACATTAATGTGTCTTTAAATAACCATAATTTAGATATTTAGGAGATATTGTAGGATAATCCAAAAAACTAGGAAACTAATATAACGTTATAAACTTATTCCTAAAAAAATGCAAATATCAAATAAAATAAATTAAATAAATCAAATACAATTTTAAAATTACAAAAAAACAGTCCAAAGGGATATGAAGCTTGTTTCTCACAAAATTGTGAATAAAGATGGAAAGTCTTGTATCGAAGTTAAGATTAAGGATGCAAAGCCCAAGGTATTTAGCCCTAAGAAGGTTAGTGCTATGATTCTAATTAAGATAAAGGAGACTGTGAGGCATTCCTTGGGAAGAAAATCAATTAAGGATGCTGTTGTCACAGTTGTTGGTGAGTAGAACTCTTCTAAATTACTACTATTATTCTCCACTCTTCCAAGGATGCTGTGGTACTCTCTTTTACTTTTTTTTGCAACCTGCAACCTACTTTAATGATGCCCAAAGGCAAGCTATCAAGGATGCTGGTATTATTGCTGGGCTGAATGCTGCTAGAATTTTAAATGAACCATTTGCTGCAGCTATTGCCTATGGATTCGACAGTAAAGGTGGTGAGAAGAACATCCTTGTGTTCGACCTTGGTGGTGGCATATAAAAAGTTAGACAATTTTTTTTTAGCACAACAAAGCTATTGCAAATCTCGAACTGTCATGATGATACATTTGATGGACTATATAATCAAATAGCACCAACCACGGATCCATTAGTAACATAAGGGTTTAGAGTGTTTGGTCGATTTGTTACCATCAGAACTTTAATGTTCCCTCGAGCATCAAATCCATCAAGCTGATTCACAATTTCAAGCATAGTGCGCTAAACCTCATTGTCTCCATCCACACCATCATCAAAACGTGCACCTCCTATGGCATCTAGTTCATCAAAAAACACGATACAAGCTTTTTTGGAACGTGCCATCTGAAATAGTTCACGAACCAGACGGGCACCCTCCCCAACATATTTCTTAACAAGTTCACTTCCAATAACACGGATGAAACACGCATCAATTCTATTAGCTACAGCTAGGGCTGCAAATAAACAGAGCTGTTCATGAACAAGCTCGAGCTCGGCTCGGTAAGAGCTCGTTCGAACTCGGTTCGTTAATTTTTTTTTGCCGTTCGAGCTCGAGCTCGTTAAATTTTTAATAAACAAGCCCAAACATTCTAAAGCTCAGCTCGTAAGCTCAGCTCGTTAGCTGGCTCGTTCAATATTTATTATTTATATATTAAATAATATAAAATTATGTATAAAAAATAAGAGAAATATGCTATTTATATATTTAAAAAATATAAATGTAAATAATAGTTAACTATAGATAGTATATTTATATAATAGTGGTAGTAGATATTATTATTTTAGTAAAATATGGACTTTTTTTTAGTATGTTTATATATATTGTATATATAATAATCAAAGTTTTAATTGTAACTTTAGTCTCACATGCAAGTATGAATTTATAAATTTTTTGGCTCGTTAAGGTTCGTGAACAGGCTCGAGCTCGAGTCGAACCTAAGCCAACTCGGCTCGAGCTCGGTTCGTTAAATTTTTATTGAGCTCGAGCTGTTAAAATCTCAATAAACAAGCCCAAACACACCAAAGCTCGGCTCGACTCGACTCGTTTGCAGCCCTAGCCACAGCTCTAGCTAAAAGTGTCTTACCGGTACCAGGTGGACCATAGCATAGAACACCCTTAGGAGGGTTGATTTTGAGGTTCACAAACTTTTCAGGATCATTCCTTTGAAGTAACTACATAAGGAGAAACAAATAAACCATAAACAAAGAAAAAGAAAAGAAAAGAAACGAAACGAAAAAACAGAGAAAACCATAAATAAGAGGAAGATTGTTTTCAACATTGTAGTAGTCTTCTATATCTGTCTGTGCTTGTCAAGCTTGATTGTGTTTGCCATGACCATACATGAACCTTGCACTTTTCTCTGTGTAAACATGAGTCTCATTGTCCAATCTATTAATACCCATTTCAAATTTGTAATTAGTAGCTTATACTCTGAAATTGATAATTTAATTACCTTCACATGAGTTAGAAATTTTGATTTGAACTTACGATTCTCTGAAATTGATAATTTAATTACCCATTTCAAATATTTTCATTAAAAACAAGCCTAACATTATTTCTCATTTTCATTGGTATAGATGGATGATGGATGATCTCGTGCACGCAGCTAAATTGTACAAGACTACTTGGCAGTATAAGCATTTTTGGGAGGATTAAATATTTTTGGATGGATGTGTATGGATAACAAATATTAGTAGTTTTATTTGTTAATAGCTGCGCATGGATAACAAATAGTTATGTTTCAAATTGTTATGCTAGATGGATGTGACTTGTGAATGAAAACTTAGAATAGTTGTATGGTGTCGAATGTTAATGAATTATGTATTGTGTCGAATGTTAATGATTCAGTTGATTTGAATGATGCTTTAAAATTATAGGTTTATTATGGATTGAACGAATTATTAGGAATTACAGGTGTATTGTTTTCCTGCTTTTGGCAACCAATTTATTAGTCGCGACAAATAAATAAATTTTTTTCTCAAAAAATGACAAATGCCGACCAAGAGTTTTGGTCGCAAAAAATACATCTATTGCCGACCAAAACAGCTCTTGGTTGTGGAATTTGACTTTTGCCGACCAAAAATTTTGGTCGCGAAAAGTAACAAATGGCGACCAAATTTTTTGGTCGTAGAAACTATTATTTAGCGACGAAGAAGTTTTGGTCGTGGAATGTAATTTTTGCCGACCAATTTTGTTGGTCGTTGAAAGTAATTTTTGCCGACCAAATTAGCGACTAACATGTATGGTCGTTGAATGTAATTTTTGCCGACCAAAGTCTTTTCGCGACTAAATAGGTTAGTCGGGATAATTATATGTTTAGCGACCAATAATTTAGTCGCCAAATAGAACGTTTTGCCGACTAAAAATCTTTTTAGTCGCTAATTACTTTCCGCGACCCTCAATTGTTGACCAAAAAAATTGGTCGGGAATATGTTTTGCCGACCAAAAATTGGACTTTTGCCGACCAAATCTTTAGTCGGCAAATGTGTTTATTCTTGTAGTGATTTTTAGAAAAACATAAATTACAAACACGTTTGGTTTACACAAAATGTTTAAAAATATAAAAAAGAGGGAGAAATGGCAAGTGGTGGCGGGTGGTGGCGGCAGAAGATGGTGGTGCAAAATGATGGTTAGTGGTGGTGGCAGAAGACGGTGGTGGAAAATGGTGGCAAGTGGTGGGTGATGGTGGCAGAAGACGGTGGTGGAAAGTGGTGGTAAGTAGCGGGTGGGTGGGTGGTGGCGGCGAAAGACGGTGATGGAAAGTGCTGACAAGTGGCGGGTGGTTGCGGTGGAAGACAGTAGTGGAAAGCGGTGACAGGTGGGTGGATGGTGATGGCAGGTGGGTGGTGGATGGCGGGTGGTGGCGGGTGGTGATGGTGGATGGGTGGGTGACGGTAGCGGGTGATGGGTGGTGGTGGCGGATGGCGGGTGGTGGCGCGTAGGTGGTGGGTGGGTGGGTGGTAGGTGGGTGGGTGGATGGGTGACGGTGGCGAGTGGTAGGTGGTAGCTGGTAGCGAGTGGGTGGTGGTGGTGGTGGGTAGGTGGTAGGTGGTAGGTGGTAGCAAGTGGGTGGTGGTAGGTAGTGAGTGGTGGCGGGTGGCGGGTGGGTGATGGTGGTGGTGGTGGTGGTGGTGGTAGGTAGTGGGTGGTGGTGGCGGGTGGATGACAGGTGGCTGGTGGTGGTGGGTGGTGAAGTAAAAAAAAAAAAAACTGAAAACTCAAAACGGAAACATATTTTTATAGTTTACATTTTTTGGTCAAATTTATAAACTGAGACTACTGATTTATAAATTAAAAATTTAGCAAACAAGTTTTTATTTAAGTTTTTCAATTTTTGTAAATATAAACTGAAAAATAAAAACGTAAGTGTTACCAAATGATACCTATGTGTTTATGGGTTGGTTTAGTTTGTTGATTCTTTTGGAGCGTGGAGAGGCTGGCCCTCCACCACAAGGTCTCTAACATTTTGTAATTGAGGAAAATGATTGAGGCCTCGAATGTGGCTCGAAATGTTTTTTTTTTTCTTTAAAATTGTGTTGGTTTGATTTTTTTATTTTTTATTTTTTATTTATTTGTTGGGTTGGGTTAGTTTGGTTGTTTTTATTTATTCATTTATTTGTTGGGCCGTTGTAAATTTATTTATTTATTTTTTTAGAATGATTATGTGTAGGGGTGGGTTTAGAGTTTAGGATTTAAGGTTTAGGTTTTTATTTTTTTCGAGTCTTTCTGATTTGAAATAAAAATATAGTAAAGACTCGTACAAAACTATATGGAATTAACAAATTTTAACCAGCAGTCTAACTAATCAGTCAATTTTATCATCCAATCAATCTAACCCAATTTTTTTTCAGTTTTTTTTTTTTTTGGGCTATGTTGGTTTGTTTATTTTATTTTATTTTATTTGTTGGGTTGCGTTGGTTTGAATTTTTTTTTATTAGGGTTTAGGTTAAAGCCCTTCCCAAAAAAAAAAAAAGAAAAAAAACCAAACCAACATTAAAAAAAAAAAAAAAAAACGAAACAAAACAAAACAACTTTTCGAGGCAAATTCGAGCCTCTCTTTCGAGGCCTTTAGCATGGTTGAAAACAAAATTACAAACAACCGTGCTAAAGGCCTCGAAAGAGGCTCGAATTTGCCTCAAAAAGTTGTTTTGTTTCGTTTATTTTATTTTATTTTATTTTATTTATTTATTTTTTTAATGTTGGTTATTTGGTTTTGGTTTTTTTCTTTTTTTTTTTTTTAGGAAAGGCTTTAACCTAAACCCTAATAAAAAAAAAAAAAATTCAAACCAACACAGCCCAACAAATAAAATAAAATAAAATAAAATAAAATAAAATAAACAAACCAACATAGCCCAACAAATAGAAGAAAAAAAAAAAAATTGGGTTAGATTGATTGGATGATAAAATTGACTGATTAGTTAGACTGCTGGTTAAAATTTGTTAATTCCATATAGTTTTGTACGAGTCTTTACTATATTTTTATTTCAAATCAGAAAAACTCGAAAAAAATAAAAACCTAAACCTTAAACCCTAAACTCTAAACCCCCCCCTACACATAACCATCCTAAAAAAAAATAAAAATTTACAACGGCCAAACAAATAAATGAATAAATAAAAACAACCAAACTAACCCAACCCAACAAATAAATAAAAAATAAAAAATAAAAAAATCAAACCAACACAATTTTAAAGAAAAAAAAAAACATTTCGAGCCACATTCGAGGCCTCAATCATTTTCCTCAATTACAAAATGTTAGAGACCTTGTGGTGGAGGGCCAGCCTCTCCACGCTCCAAAAGAATCAACAAACTAAACCAACCCATAAACACATAGGTATCATTTGGTAACACTTACGTTTTTACTTTTCAGTTTATATTTACAAAAATTGAAAAACTTAAATAAAAACTTGTTTGCTAAATTTTTAATTTATAAATCAGTAGTCTCAGTTTATAAATTTGACCAAAAAATGTAAACTATAAAAATATGTTTCCGTTTTGAGTTTTCAGTTTTTTTTTTTTTTACCCCCCAACACTAGCCACCACCCGCCACCATTTTCCACCACCGTCTTCCGCCACTACCACCCACCACCCACCCCCACCAATAGAAGTCTGACCATGGTAGAGCCATCTCACTTGGTTTAAGCAGTGAGGAGGGTGTTGAAGGATAAGCATTATCTTTCAGGAGTATCAATCCTAGGAGGACTTTACATGGAGAAGTAAAAGTCCCACTAGGATTGTGCCACGCGAAACGTACAAAAGCTCACAAACATCACCTATGGAGAGGTAACACAACCTTGATTCCCGAATACACAGAGCTTTTTGTCTATTTGTCTATTGAACTAACTTAGGCATCGGAGAGGTATCCGGCACACACCCGTCGGCTAGCTCACGTTTGTGTTTTCAGGGAGTGAAGCGACGACGTACGAAGGAGCGCAATCTTAATCAACAGGATTATACGAGAAGGTTTATCTCTTTCCCGTACAATTGGTGCCGTCTGTGGGAAAATACAGAATGAACAAAAACCTCTTGATTAAGTTTTCCTTCTAAATAAAAAGTAATGGCGCACAACGAAGATTTTCCACAGTCCGCCATTGATGGACAAACCCCAGAAGGAGGTGGGAGGCGCGAAGGCTTGCCTCCTATCCCTCCCATGGCAGACTTGGAGCCACAACGACAGAACCCCATGAGGGATGCTAGGGGGATGCGGAATAACAGCCCCCGTCACTCTCGTTCACAGAGTCTTGACAGACAAAGGCGTAGGATTGATCCTCAAGTTCTGGAGGACCGCGTAAAGGAGCAGGATGAGTTGATACGAAGGATGGCGGCGGACATGGAGTCTATGAAGTGCCAGATGAAAGGAAAATGAGTGGCGACAGGAGAGGGGCACAAAAGCAAGACGCCTCCTCGCCGCTCGGAAGGTGGTGGTAGGCATGCCACACCGTCACAAGCAGAGAGTAGAAGCCTCAGGACAGGCGATACTCAATCTAGAACCTCCAGAACTCGTTGCTCTAGGTCTGAGAGAACAAGGACTGAAAGGTCATGTACTAAGGGAAGCACCTATCGACCCTCACGCACGCACCAGACATCATCTAGGCAGATGGAGGTGCCTAGATCGTCCGACTTGCGAACCGTTCTAGAAGAGAGGGCACGATGGAAGGAGCACACCAGGGCGCACGACCCTCGCAGAGTTTCTGCCCTTCAACGGTTGGCTCCTCGGACGCATGGAAGCGTCGAGGTTGGAATGCCATTACCACGCCCTGCCTACGAACCAATAGACAAAGCATTGGCGAGGCTGCAGACCTCGCCGTTCGTTCCGGCGATTGAAAATGCACCCCTACCTTCAGGCTTCCTTCAGCCCAAGTTCACCACGTACGAGGGGAAGACGGACCCCTACATGCACCTAAGCCACTTCCGCTAGGTCATGGCGGTATATCGACGAAACGAGGCTTTGATGTGCATCCTCTTCCCATCAAGCCTTGGAGACCTAGGCTTGACTTGGTTCGAAAAACTTCCAGAAGGCAGCATAGCCCCCTAGGCACAGTTGGCGGAGGCGTTCGTAACAAGGTTCAGGACGAACACCAAAACCCCGGTGGAGATCGACCAGCTACTTTCCATCGACATGGACGAAAAGGAGACACTAAGGTCCTACAATAGCCGTTGCTAGGAGACCTTCAACCAGATTGGGGACTGCCCCACCAATCTCGCCATTGCACAGTACAAAAGAGGCCTTCCAGTCGGGAACAGACTAAGGGACTCAATCACCATGACACCGCCCCTCACCATGGAGGCCTTGATGGAAAGAGTAAATCAGCACATCAGGGTAAAAGAGGATGGCGCCCGTGCCAAAACAAAATCTGGCACGACCGCAGTACTAGAGAAAAAGGCCTCAGCAAAGGTCAACGCGGTAGACCGTCCGAGCAGAAACGGACGAGGCAGGCGAGACGACGGAGAGGACCAGGATAAAAGATGGTTGAGAGTCCGCACTGCCATAACCACGGTATTCAAGAAACCGATCTATCGAATTTTAAGCGAAATACGCGATGAACCCTTCGTCAGATGGCCAGCTAAGCTAGGAGAAGCACAGAAAGACTATGACGAGAGATCACGGTGCACCTTCCACAAAGAAAAGGGGCACCGCACTGAAAATTGCACGCCATTGAGACAGTATCTGGAGGAGTTGGTGGCAGCTGGTCACCTGGATAAATACATTGAAGGAGGAATGCAACCAGCCCCCCAAGACCACAATAACCCCAATGGGATGCCAATTGACGCCCCGCCTCAAGGCGTAATCAATGTGATACATGGAGTATTCGAACCGGAGCGTGTATGCGAGCTCAGAGGGTCAATCAAGAAGGCTGAGCACTTAAGGGAGGTACTAAGCGCTCAACCTACCATCAAGAAGGGAAGAACGGAAGCCGTCAATGTCATCTCTTTTTCAGACAGAGACTTGGCCAGGATATACTGCCCTCACAACGACGCACTAGTCGTCACTCTCCGTGTCAAGGATTACGACATCAAACGGATTTTGATCGACCAGGGAAGCTCGTGTGAGATCATGTACTACGACACCTTCAAACAACTGAAGCTATAAGACAAGGACTTGGCACCCGCCGTGTCCCCCCTGATTGGATTCAACTCAATGCCGGAGTGGCCAGTCGGCAAGATTATCCTTCCAGTCAAGGCAGGAAGCGTGTCGAAGCAAGTGGAGTTCTGGGTGTTGAAAGTTCCCTCCACTTACAACATTATCTTGGGCAGAACATGGCTGCATGCCATGCGAGCGGTAGCTTCATCCTACCATCAAGTAATGCGATTTCCCAACGACGCCGGGGCAATTGAAGAAGTCTATGGAGACCAGATCATGTCCAAACAATGTTTTGTCACGGTAAATGGCAGCCGCGCTGCCATGGGATATGTTCATTCGGTGGAAGAACCTGAGAGCAATGAACTGTTTGAGGGAGTTGGCAAAGCGGCTGATCAAAAAGCGGTGGAAGACTTGGTGGAGGTAAGAATAGATGAAAAGAACCCGGATAAGTTCTTTTTGCTCAGTTCGTCATTGTCCAGCACTGAGAGATTAGAGGTCTTGGAATTCTTGACCTCTAACATTGAAGTGTTCGCCTGGACACCTTACGACATGCCAGGCATTGATCCAAACCTCATCTGCCACCAACTCAATGTCCACCCATCCGCCAGACCAATCATTCAGCGCACCCGCAGATTGGCACTCCACCACGCCGAGATAGTGGTGCAAGAGGTGGGAAACCTGCTGGAGGCAGGAGCAATCAGAGAGGTGCACTACCCCAGATGGATTTCCAACACAGTCGTGGTGCCTAAGAAGAATGGCAAATGGGGTGTCTGCGTCGACTATAAGACAGTCAACAAAGCATGCCCAAAGGATAGCTTCCCCTTACCACGGATAGATCAACTGGTAGACCTAACGGCGGGGCACAACCGACTTAGCTTTCTTGATGCGTACAAAGGCTACCATCAGATTGCCATGTACAAACCAGATCAGGAAGTGACGTCCTTCACAACTCCAAGAGGACTATACTGCTACAAGGTCATGCCCTTTGGCCTAAAGAACGTAGGGGCAACATTCCAGAGAATGATCACCAAGATGTTTGAGCCGTTGTTAGGCAGAACAATGGAGGCTTACATCAACGACATGGTGGTCAAGAGCGAGGATGAGAACGACCATCTAAAAGACCTAGGTGAGATGTTCCAGATACTGAAGAGACATAAGTTGCGCCTCAATGCATCCAAGTGCGCATTCGGTGTAGGATCTGGCAAATTCCTGGGCTTCCTGGTGACCAACTCGGGTATAGAGGCAGACCCCTCCCAGATCAAAGCTATTCAGGATCTGGAGAGGCCTAACTCAGTGAAAGGAGTGCAGCATCTCACCGGCATGGCAGCTGCACTCAGTCGATTCATTAGTCAGTCGTTAGACAGACTACGACCATTCTTTCAAGCATTAAAAACCAAGTTCGAGTGGGACGAAGAATGCGACCAAGCTCTGGAGAACCTGAAGGAATATATTCTTCTCCACCACTGCTTGTCACCCCAGTACCTGGGGAAGAACTTTTCCTGTACCTGGCAGTCTCTCAGCACGCAATTAGCGCAATGTTGGTCCGTGCAAAAGGAATCCAACATCTGCCCATCTTTTATGTCAGCAAGACATTGCTAGGAGCCGAAACAAGGTACTTGCCACTGGAAAAACTGGCATTGGCCTTGATGATGGCCTGCAGGAAGTTGTCGCACTAGTTCCACGCTCACACCATAGTTGTCCTTACGGCTTTCCCACTAAAAGCTTTGTTTGAGAGGGCGAACTTTTCTTGACGAATCTTGAAGTGGGCAGTAGAGTTGGGACAATTCGACATCAAGTTCCAACCCAGAATCGTAGTAAAGGCCCAATTATTGGCAGACTTCATCGCAGAGTTTACTCTAGGAAGTCATCATATCTGCCCAGTCGATCTGACTGACACAACCGAACTAGGGATGGAAGTTGACGCCGGAATAACGCAACCCCTAATACAGGATACTCAGCCAGACTCCAAGGCAGACCAGAGTAAAGAAAGCACGGAAGAAGCGAACCATGCTACACCAAGCCAAGACTCACCAACAAATGAAGGCTTGGTTCCATCAGATGGTGAGGGGCAGACGGCAAGCATGGACCTTGAAGAGAACACCAGCAACATTCCTGACCCCACGTCATCATCTGATCCCTCCACAAGCTGAAAGTTGTTCGTTGGAGAGATATGGAAGCTCTTCGTGGATGGAGCATCCAACCGACATGGTGCAGGACTTGGCATAGTCCTCATCTCACTAGACGGCTTAGTTGTGGAGCAAGCTGTCAACCTTGGCTTCCCATCATCAAACAACAAAGCGGAGTATGAAGCGCTTCTTGTAGGTCTCAAGTCAGCATTATACATAAAGGCCATCGAGCTAATAGTCTACAGCGACTCACAGCTGGTGGTAAACCAAATTTCAGGCGACTACGAAGCGAAGGATGACAGGATGGCTAAGTACCAAGACTTACTCAGAAAAGAGATCAAGAAATTTGAAGTAGTAAGGATAGAACAGATTGGCAGGGAGGAAAACAGCAGAGCAGACGAACTAGCAGGCTTCGCTTCAATGACAGATACATTCATCCCTCATCCGTTGCTCATCGACTACTTACCAAGACCAAGCATTGAAGGCCTCGAAGCAGAAGATGTATGTTGCACCGAACTAGGCCCCTCGTGGATGGATCCCATCATACTGTTCTTGAAAAATGGCGTCTTACCGGAAGAAAAGAAAGAAGCCAACAAAAGTAGAGCAAATTCGCAACGATTTTGGCTCTCCCCATCTATGGCATTGTACAAAAAGTCATTCTCAGGACCTTATCTAAAGTGTGCTCACCCCAGCAAAGTGGAAGCATTCTTGTTCGAAATACACGAAGGTGTGTGCGGAAGCCATCAAGGAGGAAGATCGTTAGCTTACAGAGCCATCTCGCAAAGATACTGGTGGCCATACATGCAGGCAGACTCAGAGAAATATGTGAAGAAGTGCGAGAAATGCCAGAAGTTCGCACACCAAATACATCAGCCAGCCAGAGAACTTCTATCATTGACTAGCCCATGGCCTTTCGCAATGTGGGGCTTGGACATAGTAGGACCACTTCCAACAGCACCCGGCAATAGGAAGTTCTTTCTCGCAGCAACAGACTACTTCACAAAGTGGGTGGAAGCAGAAGCATTGGCATCAATCAAGGAAAAAGATGTGAAAAAGTTCGTCTGGCAGAATATCATTACTCGGTTTGGCATACCAAAAGCCCTAATATCAGACAACGACACTCAGTTCGACGAAAGAATCTTTAGAGGCTTTTGTGAAGAGTACAAGATAGAGTTCTACAATTCTACACCGGCATACCCCCAAGCAAATGGTCAGGCAGAAGCATCAAACAAGGTCGTCTTGGATAGACTGAAGAAAAGGTTGGAAAAAGCAAAAGGCAAATGGGCGGAGGAACTTCCTCATCTTTTATGGGCTTACCGCACCACACCTCGACGATCAACAGGAGAAACACCATTCTCCTTAGCTTATGGCATGGAAGCAATAATCCCACTAGAAGTCGGCCTCCCCACAATTCAAAGCGAAATTTTTTGATCCAGACTTAAATGGCGAAGCCATCACATTAGAGCTCGACCTTGCAGAAGAAAGAAGAGAAAAAGCACTGGTTCACATTGCCTCATACCAACAAGAGTTGTCCAGGAAATACAACAAAAGAGTGCATCCAAGGCAATTCAAGATCGGCGATTGGGTACTACGTAAAGTGATGGGAAACACCTTGGTACCGGGAGACGGAAAGTTAGGACCTAATTGGGAATGACCTTATAAAGTGGTTGGATTAGCCGGAAAAGGGGCATATCACCTGGAAGATGAGGACAGCAAAGCCATTCCTAGGCCATAGAACACTGCCAATCTCAAACTATTTTATTTTTAGCTTTTTTCAAGTATATGTAATTTTCCTTTTTCTCAATAAAACAAAATCGATTCTTTTCAGCATTGTTGTTTTCTGTAAAAGATAGTTTCAGTGAGTGAGAGACTTTGTAAACATTATTCTAAGTTGGCAGGAAAAACTAACTTAGAGGTTGGCTGGATTAAACCAACACCCCTCCTAAGCCCAGGATAAGGATCCAGGCTGTAGGATGTTTGGTCGGAATAACCAAATATCTTATTCTAGGTTGGCTGGAAAAACCAACTTAGAGATTGGCTGGATTAAACCAACACCCTTCCTAAGCCCAAGATAAGGATCCAGGCTGCAGGACGTTTGGTCGGAATAACCAAACATTTTATTCTAAGTTGGCAAGAATAACCAATTTAGAGGTTGGCTGGATTAAACCAACTCTTGGTACTCTTTAGCCGAAGTAAAGATATCGGCTAAAGAGTGGTTGGCTGGATTAAACCAACTCTTGGTACTCTTTAGCCGAAGTAAGGATATCGGCTAAAGAGTGGTTGGCTAGATTAAACCAACTCTTGGTACTCTTTAGCCGAAGTAAGGATATCGGCTAAAAGAGTGGTTGGCAGTTATACACCCAGCTAGTTTGCAAAGCTTGGACCGGAATAAAATTATCTCGGCCAGAGAATGCTCTACATTCAAATCACAGAAAGAAAGCAAGTACAAACAGAGTAGTAAACCGAGATAACAGTTGGAGCAAAAAGAAGATTTTCATTGACAAGTTTAAAGCAAGTACAAAGGATGTTACTTCAGTCCGGTTACAAACTTTTTGTCCAACAAACAGAAAGAAAAGGAAATACAATCAGTTAAACAGATCATCTATTTCGGCGTCAAGATCAGCATCAACATCAACCCGAAGATCGATTTCAGGCGGGAGCTCGGTTTCGGTCGGAAAAATGGTCTCAGTTGGAAGCACGGTTTCAGTTGGTTGCTCAATAGTCAGGTCTTCCACCATGGGCTCCAACCGAGCTGATGGATCAACAGGATCATTGACGACTGAGGTGTCATTGGGCACGTCTTCTTCATCATCATCTGAACCCTCAAGAAATTGTTGCTGAAGGGTAGCAACGTACTCCGCTAATGAACTCGGTATGAAGTACTGAGGAGGATTGAATACCTCAGTCTTAGGTCCATGACTGAGCTGCACCACGGCCCCGCGCCAACCGCACTTAAAAAAGAGATCCTTCGCAGCCTCACACTGCTTGACATAGAGGGCTTCGCCTTCCTTAAAACCCCGAAGTTCGGCATCCTGCGCACTTTCCTTCAGCTTGGCGATTACGGTGTCTTTCTTCTTCTTAAGCTTTGCAAGCTGGCGCAAATACTTATCTTTCAGCTCGGCTGCAGCCTTCTGTTTCTCTGCTTCGGCTGAATTAACTAGGTCGGTTAGCCTGGTTACTTCGGCTTCTAGCTCAGTCATCTGCCGCTTGGACTCGTTTAGCTCGGCCATTTTTGCTTTGGCCTCTGCCATGGCCTCCTTAGTGGACCTGCGAAGTTCCAGCACATGCTTGTGTGCGACATGGCTCTTTTGCAGGGCCTGCAAAGGGAGTGGTACAGTCTTCAGATAAACCGAACTAAAAGATGTTGAAATTTGTGGGTAGGCAATAGAACTTACCAAAACCATGGATTTTGTAGTCGAACGAATGACACGCAGCTCGGTGAGGTCGTCATGGTGCACCATATTGGCTGGAAGGCAGACACTCTTGGACAGGTTGAATGCCATTAAGTGGTCCTCCTCAGAGACCACCGAATCAGTGTCCTCAATGGCTCGATTCCGGAAAGTGAGCTTAGGAACCCATTTGGAAGAACCAGCCCGGTCAGAACGCTCTGACTGTGGACTTGGTGGAGGGCTTGAAACAATGGTTTGAGGAATCATGGTTTCATCTTCATCAACGAGTCGCTGCTCGGTTGCGGTAGTCCGGGCGCGTTTGCTTGGGTGAGATGAGGAGGGTTGTTGAGATGGAAGGGCCACCACGATTTCCTGCATCTGGTTTGGTTGTGGTACCTCGGCTCCGTGTGTTTCGGTTAAGAGGGCCCTGACTCTGTTCCTTTTCGCCATTTCTTCTACTTCGGTTGTACGGACAAGGTTGATTTGTGGCAAGTTTGGGTCCGGTTCTGGAGAAGCCTCTAACAAAAAATCTGTTACTCTGGCTTTACGTCGGCTACTATATCTGTATGTCGGTTCAAAGTTCAGAAGCTTGGCCTAACTTCTTTCGTGATAACGTAGTGCGGCGCGTAGTGTGTTTAGATTGGGGTAACTGTACAGTGATTTAAGGTGGGCTGAATCTGCATAAAGAAGACAACTGTGAGTTCGGTTCAAGAATAGGAAACCGAAATAAAGAGAAGCGTGCAAAGAAGCCGAGTTAATTATACCGGGGGTTCCTTTCTTCCAATTTATACTGCGGCCTGGGATCTGGGCTTGGTGGTCCTCAAAATTCCC